CACACTCCTGCATCTCAGATGTGATCGGAGCGTTTGTGGATGCTCGTGGGGGGCCATGGTGGCTTCCCTGCCCGAGAATCTCAGACAAGGGCGCCAATGCCAGGTGGCGCGCGCGCTTCTGCCGCACTTGCCGGCAGCATTGCCAGACCCAGCGCGCCAACTTAGGCCTGGGCGCCCTCGTGGAAGTCGCGTCGCGGTGGACAGATCTCCGTTCTCTGACCAGGACCGAGATCAATGGCCAATGGACCCTGCCTTTGACGGGGGAGCGTAGCCCATGGGTCACGGAAGTGATGTGGCGGGCGCAGGCGCCACACTGCGGCGCCACCCATCTGATCGAGGAGCGCGTGCGAGGTTCGCCGCATGCGTCATCGCCATCCCTGGATCGGACAACGCACACTTGGCGGAAGCCACAGGCTGTCGTGCCGGGCTAAGTATGCTCGCCGACACATACCCCAACGTCAGAGGCGCCCGGGTTGTCGGAGATAATCTGGCCGCCATCCGGTACGGAGCGTGGACGGGACGGTGCAGGCGCCTGTCTCCCTGCCCAGATGCGGTCGCTGGTTGAAGGAGCGTGGGCACTCGCGTGGCGGGCAATGGAGCGACGCCTCAATAAAGCGAGCGACCGGCTCGCGAGCCTAGGCGTCTTCTGGGCCGACCATCGGCGGCAGTCAGGGGGCGTGACGGTGCATTCCTGGACCGTATGGCACGCGCAAGACATTTCTTCCCACCCTCCCGTCCCGCCCCTTTTCCCTGGCAGAGGCTGCAACTACTTCGATCCTGGGGACATCGATGCTCTCGTATATGCATTCGAGACGGGTGCCGTAGACGCCCCCAAGTGATAAGGGACTGCCCACCCGCCCCCTCCCTCCCACCCGTTGTTCGCCTCCCCCGCCGATTGGCGTGCGCCCGCTGCTAGCCCCTCCTAGTGGCTGGTCGTGATCGTGACGCTCGCCAAGGCCCCGCTGCGCCCGATGCAGCTGTCCCACCTGCCAGCGCGGCAGTTAGCAGCACCTGGTCTTGTTTGGCCACCTGGAAGTGTCGCCCTGCCGCGCAGCTGTCCCCGCAAGCGAAGGGCCTCATCAAGAAGTGGCTCCCTTGCTGTCAGTGTCAGCCCGAAGGACCCTAGCCCGGCCCTGACGGCAGGCCGAAGTTTCAGTGCCGCAAGGCCCCCTGGATGCGCTGGGGCCGCTTCGAAGACTCCTGGGGGTGGTACTGTCAGCTTTGCCAGAAGGTGGTACTTTATAATGCCCACTGCACCACGCGAGACCACAGGATGCGCGTCGAGCAGCAGCGGGGGGACGGGCTACCCGACCCGAGGAAGTGGGGCCAGGGCGGCAACCTCTGGGTGTTGACGGGCGGCAGGGCCACCAGAGGTGTGCGACCGCTGGGATTACGACGACGTCGACTGGGCAGCGTGCTTTGCGTAGCGACTCCACGGCCTTGTCGCGCGAGTCCGTGTTGAGGCACTCTCCGGACATGGCTCCACTAAAGGCTCCTTCACTGTATATCTTGGATGGGGAAGGGCCTGAAAGCGATGCACCTTTGCTCTTCAACCATTCGGTGGCTTGTGAGAGGTCGCCTGAGCCGTCCATGTTCCCCACGACCATCGTCGCGAAGCGCTTGTTCACCATGTGGCCGTGGGGGTCCGGGGACCCGGCACCCGAAGAAGTCTTCGACACGAGCTCCTTGGAACGGTTATCGATCATCACATATTACGGCTTACCCTGCACTCATCGAACAATCACCACCCAGAATGCCGGGGTGGCATGGTGGCAAGACTTGCCACATGCAGCTGGGTAGGAAGAGAATGGGGGAAAGAAGAGAGGAATAGAAGGATCGAGGGGAGGTAGAGGCTCCAGACTGGAGGGGGAGGCGGGATGGGAGGGATAGCAAGGCTAGTATATCCATGGCAACACGAACATGGAACGGATTTACTGGATGACGGAGGCTGGGCTACCGAAGATCGTTTTTAAGCGAGCATGTGCCGGATGTTCAGTGTTCAAACTCCAGGCGTCACAGGAGACGAGCCACCCTTTCCAGGGATCCCACTCGATGACCATAGCCAACGCCAGCTCAGGCGACGGAGCACTGATGCCAAATTCGTACCGAAGTGACCATACATATAGCAGCTACGGTGCCAACATTGGCATTCGATTGCTTAATGTGCCGCCCCTGTGGGAAAGCTCCAAGAGGATCCACAGGGCCATACAGTGAACGACGATATGGTAGCGTTGGACACACAGGGCAAGACACGACCACGTGGCGCAACAGGACGCGCGAAGCTGCGGATGTCGCTGCGGCTCCTGCGTCGACGTAGGTATGGAGATGGGACGGGTGATGATGAGCGCGGAGGGAGCAGCAAGGAGGGATGAGGAGGAGGAGGAGGACGCGGGGGAGTACGTAGTGATAGGCAGACGTGGGCGAGGGAACGGAACATAAACGTTGAGCTACATTGAGCTTGAGCATTGCTGGGGTCAGGGCTCCAGGACAATCGCCTTTTTGGTCACCGCTGCGCCAGCTCCCCGCTGTCTGTGCTGCTCAACGGCGGAGAGGAAAGGAAACCAGAAGCACGCAAACGACGACGACGAACTCACAGGAGGAAGCTGGTTGTCCCAGACGAGAAAAATGGGGGGGGGGGGGGTAATGGAGAACGATGAATGGGAAATGCTTTATGTCCGAATCGTTGTCGAAATACGTCCCGAAGATTTCGCGCCAAGTCCCGGGCTTATCAGCGCGCCGGATTCATCCGACAGGGCCCAAGAGCCCCGAGCCAAGCTGACCCCTCGATCGAGGGGCTGGGATGCCGCCCCAAACCAGCCCCGCTCCTTCTCTTCTCCTCCTCCTCTTCTTCCTCGCCCTGTTCGTGACTGCGGCGAGCAAGCAGGCTCCCATTCGATTAACGAGAAGGCTATGAATAATAGGGATGATCATGCGGCCGCCCTCGTCCTCCCTCTGCCCATCCCTTTCCTCCCCCTCCCCCTCCTCTTCCTTCTCCTCCTCCTCCTCTTCCTTCTTGTCCTCCTGGCAGCACCCCCTGGCAGCAGCTCCCTTGGAGCTCTTTCGCGGACCCTTCCGATCCGATCCGATCCGATTCTCCTCGTTCTCCTCCGTCTCCTCTTCTTCTCCCTTCCTCCCTCCTCTCCTCTCCCTCCTCCAACTCGTCGCCCTCCCTGGGAGGCGCAGCTCACAGCCGCGCGGAGCCGGCGGCGGCTAGCACTCGGGCCTTCCGCTCGGCAGGCCTCCGCCGCACGGGGGGCGAGGGGAGGGCTAGGGGGGGGAAGGGGGGGCGGCGCCTGCGGGCGGGCCGCCGATGCATGAACACCTTCCCTCCTATGACCCCCAAGAGGCCCCAAGAGGCCCCAAGAGACCCCACAACGGCCCCCCAGAGGCCTCCAAACTGCCTCCACAAGGCCCCCGAGAGGCCTCCCACGAGACGAGATCCCATCAATCATCCAGTAGGCTTCGTACCCACAACCCAAGCACGGTGCCAGGATGGGCCGAAGGCCATTAGGTACGTCCCCCCTATGAAGTGGGGAGCTTTTCTGATGGATGCATATCGCAAGCTTGAGCATGTCATATCTGGGCAACACGCACATTTTTAGGGTTCTTCTTGTTTTTTTTTGGGCCTCCTGGGGGCTTCTCGGCACCACAACTGGATTCCCATGGAGAGTCTGGCCAGCGCCCACACCAAGACGGGTCCAATCGTCAATTCGTGTCATCGGAAAATTCGGACCCAAACCCACCCTGGAACATCGTTTTGGAGAGGAAGGCGCGCACAAGGAGGTAGGGTGAGGGGGAGAGGCTTTTGAGAAGGAGGCTGCTACTTAGAAGGCGCCAGCCTCACATCTGCAGATACGGCCAGTGCCTTCTAAGAAGCGGCCTTCCTTCTAAGAAGCCGTCCCCCTCCCCCTGCCCCCCTCTGCGTGTGGCCGTCAAGCTCCCTCGCGCCGTGAACACCAACGACGGGAACAGCGGAGCACATCTGCATTCTTTCGGCCTGTGGGGTCTCTGCTGGGCCCCGGGGCAGCCAAGCACGACCCGGGGTGGAATCGTTTTTTTCAGGGCAGAGGGCGAGAAGACCTCCAGGGGTCCACGTGCGACGCCGCCTGGGATCTGGGACGGGGCAGGGGCGGGAGCCAGAGGCGAAGGCAGCAATTGAGGCAGAGAGACGAGGGATGGAGACGCGAGGGAACGCAGAAGCAGGGAGAAGAAAGGAGGTCGCCCTCGACGTTTTGCAAAGCACGGCATGCTGAAGGAGAGCGGGAAGAGGGAGAGGAGAGGAGGAAGAAATGAGGGAGGGCCACGGACGCAGCGCCATCGTGCAAGACCCGAGCCCAGAGGGAGTCCGAAGCCGAGGAGCAGGAGGACACCAGCAGCAGGAGGAGGAGGAAGCGTGGCAGAAGGCAACATTTTGCTCCTCCGCGCCGCGCTTGTGCACGCGAGGGCGATGTACGTTGGCTATCCCCAAATAGGGAAACGAAAAAAGGCATAAACTCAACAACTCGGAGGTCCGCGCGGATTTTTCGGATCCGCGCTGGACCCCTCTCCCTGGCGCGCTCCGCGCGCCAGGGGCGGCGCCAGAGGCGCCGCCAGGGGACCCCAGCGCCGCTCCGAGAAATCCGCGCGGACCTCCGAGTTATTCTGTTTATGCCATTGTTCGTTCTTCTGCCAAAGAGCCTCGCGAACCCCCGCAACATGGCGGGGGCCGGGCTGGCCCTCCGGGGGCGGGCGGGGCGGCTTTCCGCGCGACCTACGGAGCCCGTGCGAGGGCCTGCCTGGTGCGGCGCCAGACCCTCCGCCTCCTGCTCCTCGTCCTCGTCCTCGCCCCCGTCCTCCTTCCCTTCGTTGTCGTCTTCACCCTCGCTCGCCCTTTTCCGCATCCGCATCGGCATCCTCCCTCTTTCTCCCCCCCTCCTCCTCCTCCTCCCCTTTATCCCCCCCCGAGAAGCAGAAATCGGGAAGCTGGAGCGGCAATGGCCCAATGGCAGAGGACCCCCCCGTCAGCTCTCGACAAGGAACGGCGTGGGCAGCTTGTGCTCCTTCGAGTGGCAGGGGGCCTCGCAATCCCCGAGCCCGCGCGAATGCAACATAGCCTGGAACTCCGCCATGCTGGAGCTGGCGCTGAGACCTTCGTACCATTCTGGGTGGCGGTCGATGCCATCCGTCTTCGCCCACATGACGTTGACCCAACATGCCTCGCCTTCAAGGGCATCGTGGCACGTGGCAATCGCCTGATCACTGCTGCCGAAGTCGGGGTCGACTGAACGGTCATCCTTGGAACCCGTGGAAGCTCCGCGCTCCTCCTCCTTCAAGGTTGGAGGATCAATATTTCCTTTTGCGGCTCAAAGCGGCAGAACACAACTTTCAAATCGGGTTCATTAGTTGTTTCATTGCGCTTTCAGCTGGCGGACGGGCGTGCGAACGCGCAGGCTGGCGTGCGGGCCTGTGGGCGCAAGAATGGAGTGATCTCTGTACCTGCCCCTAGTGCGTTGCCACGTGACGAGTACATCAGAATTCTATGTGCTCCCGCCTAATTCTGCGTTGCCGCGTGACGAATGGAAAGGGTAGTATGTAGCCGGTCTCCCTGCGATGCCATGTGCCAAATACTAATAAACTAATACGTTCTGCTCCCCTCTGCGTTACCATGAAACGACTTGCGCCTATCAGTTTCATGTTCCGCCCCAGTGCGCTGCCATGTGACGGGTGGAATTAACTATTGTTCTTGCAGGAGTAGTGGAGTGTATGTATGTTTGTATGCAGGCCGGCATGTGTGTATGTATGTCTGTATGTTTGTATGTATATATGTATATATGTATGTCATTGTATGTATGCATGTATGCATGTATGCATGCATGCATTTGCGTATGTGTGTATGTATGTATGGTCGACTATATGTATGTATGCATGCGTGCATGTACGTACGTACGTATGTATATATGTAGGTCTGTCTGTCCGTCCGCCTGTATGTACGTGTGTATGTATGTATAGTTTTTGCTTGGATACTCGTATTCCCATGCAAAATATTCTGTTGACGTCTCATGAGCAGTGGGCTCCGCCGATGACATGGGCAAGAAGGAATAGTGCCGTCAAGCATGCAATAGGGTAGCGCTGAAGGGAGGAGGCCGGCCCGCCGGCCGACGAACGCGCGCGCGCCGCAGGCTCGCTCCTTTTCCGTTTCCCTAGAGCCAACGTGCAGCTGCAGGTAAAACGTTCAAGTCAAGAAGAAAAGCAGACAGCGCAGCAGACAGTGCAGGCAAGGTTAATGAGCAGGATGGGCGGCTGGCTGGTGGTGCGGGAGAAGTGCATTGACCCCCCCCGCGGCGGGATCCGTAGAGTCGCCGCGACCCCCCCAACCCACCTGACCTGTACATATGTACAGCCACCAGAGCGAACCCCCCAAAGCATTTTACCGCTCAACGCTGGTTGCCAGGGGGCGGGAGACCGAAGAAACCCGACGTTTCCCGCCTGAGCTAACATGTTGCCAGCTCAGGTCGCAATGCCCATGCACACCTGGTGCACCCGCTTCATGATGAACTATGGACCGGCAACGACAAATTCGTACTGGTCCTTCATGCACTGTATCATCTCTGCCAATCACTCCTCCAATTTCAAGAATCGCCCCAAGGATGATTGTTGCGCCAGTTCCACTGGTGCCTCGGGAGTAATTATCATATCTGTCTCTTCTTCCACTTGAACTCCAGCTATCTGGCTGATCCTTGCCCGGGCCTTTCTCGGGCGGCCTCGCCTTCGGCGTAGGTGGAGGCAGAGGCTCTGGCAAGGTACTCGGCGTCCGCGAATCACGGTTGAACTTGTCGTTGTAATCGTTCAAACTAAACCGTTGCCAAGTTTTGGTATGACCAGTGACATTCTGGTGACGAGTTGCAAGTACATAGTACCCTTTTACTTCTCCATTCTCATTCCTGCCCTCGTGGTCCAGCGTCGTGTCCCAACCGCCATCGCTCGCGCGGCCGCCCGGCTCTACAACGGGCTCAAACCACCGCCGGACCCGATCGGGGTCGATCCAGCCGGCGTAATTGCCCGACGCGGCTGGGCCGGCGGGCGCTGGGGTATAAGTAGCGGCCCTAGAAGATTGCCCTCCTCCCGATATCTCGGTCTCGATGCTGGACGAGAATGCCGCTGGGCTCTCATCCCCGCAGCGGCAGTGCCGCTCAGGGTGCTAGCTTCAGCTATCATGATTGCGGCGTCCGCTGGAGAGTCAGCCCGGGCAGTCTCTGGGGGGGAGTCGGCTGGGCCGCTCTCCTCCTTTTTCTTGAGGCAACTGGTGAGATCAATGGCGTTGTCTGTGCTGAAGAATCCAAAACGGCTGTTTGCTATGCAGTCCCTGGCATTAAATTGTGATTCTGTACACGTATGCATGAAAACAATGGCATCTTGACTCCTTCCGCAATTTTGTCTGACGGTCTCTGATACTTCATTTCCCAACCCTTCGGTCCATTCGTGGAATTGGTTGAATGATTCGATTGCAGACCTAATTCGGCAATCTAAGGCGTATGCATCACGCATTGCTTCGAGAGCGACATCTGTATAGTTTGTGTCGCGCTGGACTTCGTATCGCGGAAATGCAACGGTGAATCCCGCAGACATGAACGATGATCTGACTTCTCGCGCAGCCAACAGTATCCGCCCCCACCGCCCATGAATGGGGATTCGGTCACATGGTTGGGCTCGTGTTCTATTTACGAGCTCGGATATTTCAAGCGGAACATCATGAATCGCATCACTGTCCAGTGGCGTCGGGGCCGGGGATGTTGACAAATATTATTCTAATATGATTTGTGTCGCGACTTTGATAATTCCCGGCCGATCATATGCTTCAACATTGTTCTTTTTAGTGGACATACAACCAAACATAGAGATCAAATAATGCCGAAAGGGCAGCGTTCGCGTCGGAACAATCAGCCGATGTCGCTGGGTAATGATGTGACCGCAGACGCCATTCGGCAGTTCAGCTTTCTCTTCACGGGATAATATTGCTTCATCAGTAACGCTGGGCCGTTGATGGAGTTCAGCAATCGCCCGGAAATATGTCTCCTACTTTATTCGATTTGGGAACTTTGTTGGCTTCCGTCAAATTGTCCGTTAACGCTTGGGCCGATGGAATTGCTACTCCTCTATCCGCCAGTTCTTATTCCCATTGTTCCAGGCCTATTTCTCAGCGAATTTGCTCAGTGCGAACGTGGGTCCAATCGGGAACAGCCAGGGCAGAACATTTAAACGGACGAGCGTATTGGTCCAAGTCAGGCGTCCAAATCAACGGCCACCATTGGGCAGCGGTTGGGGCATCTTTCCCATGCTTGTACTTCAGCCGTTCACTGAATCGGAGCTTGAGAGGTTCGAGATACTGGAAGTATGGCTCTTGGCGCGCCGGTGGCTGTGCCGCGGCGCTGTCGGGTCTCCAGGGCGGGGCGGTCCCCGGCCGCGAATTTGGAAATGTTTGGCCTGCCAAAGCAGCCCGGGGACATGCCTCTGGGTTACTAACCCACTTGCGCTGGTGTTGTTCAGCTGTGTTCAAATTATCCAGCGCGTCGGCAGAGCTTCTGCTCGTTGCTCTCAGCCTGTTGGCAGTGATCTTGGAGCCACTTTCCCCTCTGGGGGGTTTATTTAGACATGGGCTCAGTCCTGGGCTCGTCCATGCAGCAACCAGTGCATCTCTACCAGGTGGCATTAGATCGTGCTTTTGGAAGTTGTATTTGTACGTAACTGGGGTGAGGCATTGCAAACAATACCCGAAGCCAGCCCTCGCAGCATGGAAGTGATGGCAGATGAACCTCCCATCATCAGTCCACATTTTCCGCATGATAAGGGCCATCTCTTCGTCCGACAACTGACCCTGCCCTGCGCCGTCTAAATCAGCATCGGAAAATGCCCGCGTCTTGATCGTGTCTTTTGAAAAGGCTACTTTATGTGCAGTCCATTCTTGAGAAAATATAATGTTCCAGGCCATCTGCTAAGTTCTTCGTGCAGTTTGTTCAACCAGCGACAGTTGCGCAATGCGAGAGATGTCGTGTAAGCGTGCTTGTCCTGTTGTCGCGGAAGTGCCGTCGCGGCGGATTCGATATCGTAGGCGGGTCACTACGCGCCCGTTAAAGACAACAACGTATTGCCAGTTCGCATCATGCGCCGCGGCAGCTTCCCAGAGAAATGGGGTAAGTTCGCGAGGCCAAGCTCCATGAATCGGAGGCCCGCTCCCGGAAAGGCTAGAGCCCGGGGCCTGATGGACTTTTGCGGGTGGAGCATCGCCGCCCCTCCTCTGGCGAAGCCAGAAAGGGACGCGCTCGGTATGTTCAGCAGGGAATGTGCGCCTCGTAGGTATCAGTCTAAGAGGTCCGTAGTCAGGTGTTTTGCGCAATCCACTAGACTTGTCAGGGTATGTAATTACCCCTGAGTCTAACGTTGACTCCTTGATGGCTTCCAAGCTTGTGACGTGCAATAAGTGCCCATGACATTGCACCATTCCAAATTCATGAGTCGAATACATGCGTTCTTTGCTATGGGCACAACAGGAGTGTCCTTGCCATGCGCCGAAGAACACTGGTATGGCCCTACGGGCCCGATCAGCTCGATCATTCGAAACAGCCATATTTTCATTTTCCTCATCAGCGACTGTGTCGTGTGAGGCGTCCGGGTCTAGAGAAGACTTCCAGTGCTCCATCAGTTTTGCCCGGTCAAGAAGCATAATGTCATCAGCCTTTATTTCAAGAGTGTCAATTTCACCCGATGGTAACATCATTAAACCCATGTACAGCAAGGGCAGTCGTGGCATGAGTGATCCCATCCTTTTGTCATTTTCCGAATGAGGTCACCAACATATACCCACCCGCCCGATGATCGAGCAGAATCGTCGCAAAGTCTGGTCATGTACACTGCGCATTCGCCGATAAATTGAACGTCGGAATGATTTCGATGACTGCATGTTCGCCAACATTCAAAGCTTCCCAACATAACGGACTTGTCGCCTTGTCTAGTTATCTCCGCCTCCGCTTCCTCGGCTATGCCGGTAGCGTCATTTGGCAAAATTAAAGGAGTAAGGGCTTGAGGAACTTCCTGAGGAATGAAGCCAGGTCGATCATCTGAATCAAATTCTGCTCTGGGAAATTGAATTGCTTGGTCAAGCCCCTCTGCACTTCTCTCCCCAAGCATCGTACATGCTGGGTCCTGTACTTTTCGAGCATTTTCTTTGATCGTGTCATAGGCGCGCCCACGAATGGCTGCAATGTGGGGCGGCACAGCGCCCGCCCTGTGGGCTTCAATGACTTGTTTTTTGAACTTCATCACTTGTCTCATC